TATTGATCATCTAAGGTTTTGTTTTTCTCTGATTGCGGTAGGGGTATACTAACCTTAATAACCATTAATTATGTGATTTGTTCTTTTTTATGATTTTGTTGAGTATCATGTTCTATATACAAATTTTAACTATTATTTAATTATTTTAAAGTGAAATTATTTTGCGTTTTAATTTGAGTATTAATTGAGAATATATTGTTAGTTGCTATATAACATGAATATACATTGTTGCATAAGTTGCGGTTTTAAATTCTGATTTTGATTTATTTGAGAATTCATGCATTCAAGGTGTTGATAAAATACTTCATTGAGTGATTATATATTGACACACATAGTCAAGGTGTAGAATTTGGTTTAAGTGTAAATTGATTAGTTAACGGGGTTGTCCGGAAAAGCAAGATAAGGCTCGGTGCCCTTGGGTGAAAAACCTTAGACTTGGCCAAGTGGTGCTCGTACCCAACTGTTTAGTAGCTCGTGAACCGAGTAGGTGTTACGTGACTTGCGATGTCAAGTGCACGGAATTACGGACAATGCCCGGAATTTATTTGATTGAGACGTGATAAATATTTGGGATGAATATTTGGGATGAAATTGATTAAAAAGTTTATATGATTATTATTATTATTATTACTATTATTATTTTTATGTTCATGCTTTCATCAAAGTTGCTTGGTTGTGGCATCTCATATACTAATGGTTACTCTTGTTAACCAAAACAATTTTGTAGGTGAAGGAAATGGTACCGGAAATATTTAGCATGCTTGGAAAAGATTTACTTAACGTTGCTTGGCTTGGAGAATTTATAATAGTTTGATTATTTTGATGTCGACATGGACTTGGAATTATTATTTTTAGTTCGGACTTGAAATAGCTTATAATTTTATCTAGCTTATTTAGTTTGGATTATGATATGAATAATTTTATTATTTCAATGGATACTTGCTAGATGATTAATTGGATCAATGTTTGAGTACTTGATAAATTTGGAATTATATTTATTTTATTTGAATTTTTTTTTATGAGATGAATAAAATTAAGTTAGTGTCAATAGAAAATTGTTTCCTTTGAATAAAAAAAATAATTGCTCCCAGGTACAGTGAAGTATTGCTTAGTAAATTAATGAAAAGATGGTCTTACTTTTGGGCAAGCGAAATGAAGAATCGTTATATAAATATATATATAGTAAATAAATGACAGGAGGATGGTGTTGTGTTTTCTTGGTCATTGATTAGTCAATGATTCAAGTGCTAGGTACAGGATAGATATATATATATATATCCATTTCGTAGGTTGATGCCTATATGCCAGGGGTGTTACCAGGTCAATGTCAATGACCATATGATTTACCTATGCGCTTTAAACTCTATTAAGCTTTGGCTAGTATATAAGCCTGAGTTGATTATACACCCTAACTTTATTCACAGGTATATTAAGATTGGTTGGTAGTGGCAGAATAAAAATAAAAGAGAATTTAATTCTTATTTAAATTCTTATTATTATTAATACTATTTTAGACTATATAAATAAAACAAACTAGTATAATAATGGTTATAGGGTTAATTTGTTATTTTATTTATGAGCATTAAACCCACCCGACTTCCTTGGATTATTTTAATTCAGTCTTCTTTGCAACTTGATCTAGTCCTGGGTAAAAAACAATGATTACCAGTTATAATTGTTTCCATTCAAGGTTGAGAGGTTCAGGGGATGGATGATCATCCTATTTATAATAAAAGATAGACGCTACCGACATTGACAAGAGGAGCGTAGCAACAATGAAATCAAGTAACTAGGCATCCAAAACTTTAGCTTGTGGACAATGACGTCTTTGTTCTGGAAAGTTTGCTTATATAGCGCACCCACATGTACTGCCAAAGACAGAGCTCTTCACTCCAAACTGGTCTTGCATTTTTAATGACTCTTCCTCACCCGTCTCCACCACCTCAATTACCAAACTTGGGAAGACCAAATGGACCTCAAAGAAAGAGAATAGGAAAGACCATAACTCTCTGCTTACCGAACAATAAATCAAGAGATGGTTTACTGTCTCCTTTGCACATACAACATCAATTCAAAGGAACTTCCTCTTCTCACCAAGTTGTCAGCAAAGGTATTACCCATAACCCTTGTCCAGGAAAACAAGGCTACCTTAGAAGGCACCTCAGCAACACCAGATGCCTTCCAAGGGAACCGATCCTCACCACCCCCACTCCCTCACTTGGTGGCACCTTGTAATATGATCCCAAATTTGAGGAAGGTGGAGTGAAGAATATAAACATGGTTAACTTCTTTATTCACCAAAACCTAAAATGTCTCTGATTTACAAGCTATCGCAACCATTGATTCAATTATTCTAGATAGATTGAAAAGTACGATGTGAGAGATGAACTCCTCAAGGGAAACTCATGTCAAATCAACTTATGAATTTTACCCCTGCAAGGGTGGAAGTTCTGAATTTATGGCTGGTTTATTATACTACAACACTATAATGAGGTCAAGGAATCTCCAATGTGGGGAAGAATGATGCTGAGCAGGATAATGAGAAAACAGCTTAATGAACAACTTACTTGGAGTGTGCTTAGACTTTCTATAATGAAGTTTTGTTTTAAATTTATGTTATTTTATAAGTTATTATGTTGTTGATAAAATTTATTACATTTTAGCAGTCAAAATTAGGTAAATACCCAGTCTGCCCATCTCAACATCCTCGATTAACAAGGACCACAAGGGGTAATGCTTATAATTTAGCAGTCCAGGTATAATATGGACACGGAAACTAGTTCTGATCCTTGGGTCCTATTTTGGGTCTAGTTATATTAATAAATCGTCTAGTTATGTTAATAAATCATCATATGGGGATTATGATAGGTCTATAATGGTCCTAATAATCTAAGTATCAATATTTTGGAGCATAATTCCTATTAGTAGTAGGGAAAGTGCAACTGCCTCCAAATATTTATGCAATTAAATAAAGTTGACTTTTAAGAATTCAGAAAAAGCTTTTCAAGTTCCATGTGATGTGTGATGCAACCTAAACATTTGATGATGGTGCTTCTTGAGGAACTTGCTGCCTAGAAAATTCTGTATACATTTTTCCTGAAATTTCTGCAATCCATTACTTCTAAAACCAAAGAATACCAATCCTTTTCTATCTACCAAGCTGACAACCTTCCTACTTTTTTAAAACCTAAACCAACAATCTAATCATAACCCTAGTAACCATAAAAGAGCAACCATAAGCAGCATTATTCCATGCTTATGATCATCGTCATATATCAAAAGAATCTATGAATACCCAGGAGGAAACTCATTTTAAAATCTATGGACTCTAAAGCACACTAAAGTACAGAACAAACTAAAATTCTTGAAACAAAAAGTTGCCAGTACAATTTTCCAACATGGCACTGCATATTTGAAACAGTGTTGTGTTCCGAACTGGCAAGCAGCAAACACTTTTTTTCTTGACAGGTGGAGACATTTTAGACAATTTCGTCACATTATAGGCTCTGTATGGCTTGCCTTACTATTTATTATCTTCTTCTTCTTCTTTTATGAGAATTCAAACACACTGTACCTAAAATTTTTAAAATTGGTTTTGCCCCTTGAAAGCATTAACTCAATTGCATGTAGTCATAATGTTGACTGCAGAAGAACTTATGGTCTAAATAGGAACTCTATCCTTTAAAGTACAGATACTCCTACAAAGGTGTCATATCCTTATTCATACTAAATCCTCAGATACTTGGTACATGTGTTAGATCATTTCTACATGTATCTACAATAAAAAAATCATTTAAATTTTGAAAAAAATTATCCAATAGTTAGTTCTCAAATACTTCAGCACACATCTTTTGAATAATTAGATGCAATATTTTTTAGTATAGTCGCCTGCGGCAGGGAGATCCGTTCTCACCATTTCTGTTTATCACTATCATGGAGCTTTTAGCAGATTGATGAGAAGGGCGGAAGGATTGGGTCTTATTAGAGGTTTTTCGATGGGCAGAGACCCCCAACCAATTGGTGGTTTCTCATTTGCTCTTTGTGGATGATACCATCATCTTTTGTGATGTGACAGAGGACCAACTGAGATACATGAGATGTGTGTTGGTTTGCTTCCAAGCAGTCTCGGGCCTAAAGATGAACATTGGGAAAAGCGAGTTGGTTCAAGTGGGGGTGCAGTCAAGTGGTGGAGTGGGAGGGAATGGATGAGATGGTTTGAACGGGCTCCTAGAGTGGGGGAGGGAATGGATGAGATGGTTTGGATGAGTTGGTTCAAGTGGGGGTGCAGTTTCAAATATATCAAATATACCAAGAAGAAGAGTCGATATATAACAAGTACATCATGTCTATGCAACATGACCATTAGTTTTAACATGTGACTTAGAAACGTTATCGTATTAGAATTTCAGTTATATTTGATAAATGTACAAAAAATGGATGTTTGTCATTAAATGTGTGTAAATATAAGACAAACAATTATTTGGTTATGCTCATATATTCATACATTACATAATACATACATGCATATCCATTTATATTGCAATGTCCTTGTGATTTGGTATCCTATTTGACTATTTCCACGATTTCTCATAAAAACATATCTGTATCTAGTCATATATACATCGTATCTATGTTCACCTTCACAATTGTCATATTGTGCATCAATGAAGACAGACTAAATTTAAAAACAAACAAATAAATAAAAGATGATTAAAAAAATTTAATAAAAAAAGTGAAAAATATACTGGAGTAGGTATGCAAAAATAACAGTCACTTTATAACATGTCTCTTCTAAGGATAAAGCATAAATTCTATTTATAGTACCACATTAAGAGTATAAGAACACAAAAGTTAAAATTTTAAAAGCAAAAGGAACACAAGTCAATTTTAGAAGCAAAAGGAACATAACTCCAGGAAGAATGGCTACTAGTATTTTGGAAGTGAAGAACAAACTAGAGAAGGCAGTGTCATGTTGACGTCCAGAACTAATTCTAAATTACCTGAGCAAGTATATTATGGTGTGGATCATGGTGCAATGGTGTCACGGTCCCAACTGGACCGAACCAAGCATTAAGTGACCTGAGCTCCCCGCCACCGACAAAACAATAGTCAGGAATAACGATGTCCTTTCTTAGATCTTCTATCTGCAATTTAAATATGAAATCAACAATAAAAATCTGTAATACAGAGTCCCAAAGTTCTATGCCACAGTCTGACTACATAGCATCCACATAAAAGGATATGCATGCCTGATCAAACAATTGATGCTGAGCTAAATATGTAGGGACCACCGCAGTGCAGTTATTTGACTTGATCCTCTCAAGAAACTGGGAAAATGTTATTAGCTCTTGCTTCCACTCTGGGCATAAATAGTTTCTCCCAACCTGCAGGACATTTTCAAGTTTTAAAAATTTTCATATCAAGAAAATCATTCAAGGACAGTATTTTCTGCAAATTGAAAGTCAGACAAGCTTCTAATTCACACAAGATATTAACCCTTAGATATTAACCCCAAGTCACATCATATACTTGTATAAAATGGGTAGATAACGTCTATGTTCCCATCTGATGCTTTTATTTTGCCCTCAATCTTTCCATAGTTATATTTACGTCATAACTTTCAATTCTACTAACCATTTATTCCCACAACCTACTTATTAGTAATTTTTGAGTCATTACTAATAGATATTGATGTTCTTCCCCACAATACAGATTTGAAATCAGAATAACATCCTTACACATCATTTATATATTTTCATATGTAATGCATCTACATCACATAGTCACATAATTTTTCATATGTATACTAAGATTGTTGATTACAACCTACTAACAAGAGGAACAGATGATGTTTAAAAGCTGCTTTCCCTACCTGCACTTGTATATGCTAAAACATACTTGAAAGTAATCAACGACATGTTCTCGTCAAAAATTGCAAGAGAACAATTTCAGAAGAGACAAATGGATTACAATCATATTAAGCTAAAACAAAGGGTCAACATCAACCATAATCTTTCTACATTGGCAATGGAAGAATTTCCAACTGTATCAAAAAGAGTATAATGGTGTTTCTCCTTACTAATACTGTAGCTTTAGCCAACCAACTAGAGTCTTTACAAGAATTTTGGACTAAAAGGATATAACACAAAGCAAGACAAAAACTGAGAAAATGTAATATAACTAAATAATTTAGGAAGTGGGAGGGTGAAAGTCAATGACCATAAACTCCCAAAAGTGACTGCAGTAATTACTTTCAACTGACCATCCACAAAAAATGGTAGGTTTAGACAAGAAAAGTGCTTAAGGAACGTCATTTGATCATTGAATACAAGAAATGCTTCATGGTAGAAAATGTTGGGTGGTAAAGATATCGCGAAAGTTGAGATGAATGATGTATTAAGAAGCGAATGAACTAGTGAGAAATTAAAAGGCAACAACAAGAGGGGCAAAAGGGGTGGAAGCTGTCAAAGACAGTTAAAAGTTGCAATAAAAGCACCAGAAAGTAATTTGATTCAAGGTAAACAGTTCAACACTACAAAAGAAAAGCCAATCAGAACGTGGGGCGATGTAATGAGAAAAGACATGGGCGCTTATGATTGAACAAGGATATGACCCTAGAAAAAGTTGGGTTAAAATTTGTATAAAACTGTTCTTATATTCCTTTCAACTTCCATTTTACAACCCGAGGAAAAAAAAAATTCATTTATGTTTATATCCACAATATACAAAATACTGAAAATATACTCAGATACCTGTATTTTGCAAAAAATTTCCTAGCAAAGTCCTTAGCAATAAAGAAATACATTGAGAATTTGGTGCAAGAGAGCGCACTATGTGAATTATCCGACTCTTAAGCAATCACAATAAGTGGAAAACTAATCACCTCAACTGGAACTGTGCGTAAGCCAGCAACCCTTTTTAGATAATCCATGTCATTCCACTTTGTCCTAGCCGGCCAATGTTCCATACAATCACTGATTATAACTGGAGAACCTGACAGGAAATAATCACGCAGGAATCCCTCCAAAGAAAGAGCAGATATTTTCCCAACAATCTTACAAGACAATGACTTCATGGGTAAAACCCGTAGCACCTACAGGATCAAATTCAACATGAGTATGAAAATCACAAATCTTTTTTTTCTTCTTTTTCTCGGTTGCTTGTGTTACCATCACACAGATAATTATTAAAATATATGTGCAGGCATCATCAGATTTCAAGAAGTCCTAATCAGTTGTAAAATGAAAATGAGAAAAAAAAAAAAAAAAACAAAACATGATACTTATATCATAAAAAGAGGAAAGCTGCTTTTATGGACTGATAATGACTACTAAAGCTAAACCACCTTGTTATTTCCAAGATTACATCAACTTTGCAAAAAATAAAATCAGGTTTATTTTAAATTTGAGGGTTTAGCTATAAATTTTAAGATAATAAATTTGCAGAATGATAAATAGCAGTGCATGTGCACGAAACAATAAAAGACTCATGTTCACTGGTTTAGATTAATTAGATGGCAAACCATTCGTTTGAACATTGGGCATGACCTCCAAGCAAAAAGCTACTAAATTCTGCCAGTCTCATCTCCTTCTTCATGCAAAACTTTATTGGTAATATCCAGGGTTTAGGTCTGTTGGTAGTTAATTCTAGTCACCATTTGGTATTTTTATACTGAGTCAATGATCTTCAGTTTTGAATTTATGTCAAAAAATATAAATAAATTACCATTGTCTACATCACACAAATGCCACCCAAAAACAAAAATAGAAAATAGAAATAAATTTCTGAGATGAAAAATAAATAAGCCAAGAATACCCAATCAGGTATGTAACATCAGGTTGTCCAATTTATGATTTTCCAACCATAACCTGTCCTTTATTATAGTATATTAAATTAAACCTAAAAAGCTACAGATTTCTTTTTCTTTTTTTTTTTTTTGAATAAGTAAAAGTTCCTTACAGAGCATCAATAACGGGATTGCAAGCCATGTACAGAGGGTACAAAATTACAAATAAGATCCACTAAACTAATCTATACAACACTCTCCTGGAAATCAACAAAGACTATACAAAAAAACAGCCGCCTCATTAAGCCACTGAAATAAAGTATTGCACATCAATTCTTAGGTCATGACCTCAACCCCATAAAATGACAAGCACGGCGACTAAAATCCCACATCTTCCTAACACAACTACGAGCACAAGACTTCCTCCAAGTAACATGAAGATCCTACTAATTATGGTACTACCCATAACAATAACAAAAAACAATAAGAAACATTCCAAAGTAACACATTTAATCAAAACACGAGTTTCATTGAGCTTTGAGTGGTTTGCTCGTGATAATTGATTCCTCAACACCATTACTACAAGGATTACTATTAGATAACCAATACCACAATCTAAAAACATGATAGTGACAGAAGCCATATAGTTATGGGGATGAAAGGGCATTTTACTCTCAAATTTATCACCCCACATGGAAAGCATTCCTAATTGTAATAAGCCCAGCTCAGCAAAACCTTTTTTCTAATTCCTTATGGTTAGCTACATGAATCATATTTTTTTCATTCCGATCTAAGGTCATAACCTCGGTCACACCACATGTTACTGACTCCACCCATATTTTATTTTGGTCTTCCCTTTCCACGAACATCCTCAATGTGAATTATATCACTCTTCCTATCTAGTGCACATGTCGGAACCATATTTATTCAGGTTACTTCAACTATCTCACGAATGTATATTAATTTCAAATTTTATCATTTTTTGTCTTACTGCACATCCATCTCAATTCTCGCATTTCTGTCACATTCAATTCATATGTATAATGTAATTTCTTAGCCGCTCAACATGAACCACACATGATATTGTCAACATAAAAACAATCCGAAGACAAAGAAATGCTAAACAAAATTCACCATTGCTTCCTCTATCAATTAACAAAATTAAATACTCTGCAATATAATCAAGAAAAAATTTCAAATAAAATCCAACAATAATATCACTGTGATTCAGTACCCACATTCCAACAATAATTCACAGTGAGAGAAAGAGAAAACGAACCTCACCTCCGCTTCATCAATTTCTTCGTCAATGAATCGACATTCAACTTTTGCAGAACCCTCAGCGGCCTCGTCGAGAGCAGTCGCCTTCCCCGACACCTTTTGGACCGCCGAATCCAAATCCTTACGCAGAACCATCCCTCCCATGATCAACCCCATGTCAAGAACCCTAATGGCCTCCCTAAAGTCACCGTGGGTGTAATGGAAGTTGGCCACGTGGAGGCAAGCCATCGAGTACGCGTCCCTCCAGATGGGGAGCACAGAGTGCCAAGGGCCGGAGTGGAGCTGCTCCCACGCCATCTCGCGCGACGCCTCCGCCGCCCGGAAGTCGCCGGAGGCGGCGCGGGCCGCCATGCTGACGTAGGCGTAGCCGCCTTCCTCGGAGATCCTCTGGAGGATGTTGGGTCTTTCGGCGTCGAGGAATGGGGTTTCCAGTACGTCGGAGGAATTGCCGGGGCCGGCAGCCATTGGCAGCGGTGAAAAGCTTCTGAGAGCTTTAGAAGAGAGTTTGAAGTCTGCTGTGGGATAAAGGGATACTTCGTGAAGCACAAGATTGACAGCGAGAGAGACACAGAAATATCTTTAAGATATTTTTTTTCCACACGTCATAATGCTGTAGTCTTTAAAGTGCTAAAAAAAAAAATTCTAGTAATACGTAGTAGTATTTAATAATATATATATATATTTTTTAATGAGTTATATATATAAATGAAATGAAATGGTATGATATGATTGCATTATGTTGAAATTTTAATGAAATGATAGCATTAATGTTGAAATTTGTTTCAAAATTTTATATATATATATATATATATATATATAATTAAAGTCCCTTATCATTTTTTTTTTTTATGTTTCATGTATCAACCATAGTTTTTAAAGTGCTAAAATTAATAATAATAAAATAATAGTATTTAATAATAACTTAATTCTTTTTTTTATGAGTGATATATATATACATATATATATATATATATAAATGAAATGAAATGATTTTCAAAATATTTTTAAATAATATTGCATTAATGTTGAAATTTGTTTCAAAATATTGTTAAATAATTTTTTAATATATATATATATATATAAAAAATTAAAGTCTAATTATTTTGATTCATGTCCCCTTACCATGTTTTTGATGGTACTTGTATCAACTAAAGATATATATGCGTCTTTTGTATAAGCACGTATTTGGATGATTCATGTATCAAAGACGGGCACATGCTTGTGATGATTTATGTATAAAAAATATATATATTTTTACATTGGTCTATGCTTCATCTTTAGTATTGTCAAGAATCTATTTGACTCATCTCATTTTACAATGAACCATTTTAAATTCATTCAGCAAAATTTATGATATATTTTCATTCTTATGATACATGAGTGAGTTAATTTAAATTCATTATTTTGAAACATGAATCATCTTATGAATTGAATACATTTATGATTCATATTGAGAAATCCATTTGTTACTGGACTCTTGTCACAAACACGATTCATTTATTAAACGGGTTACACGCGTAACTTGTTAAACTCATTTAATTTAAATGATTATGTAACTCGTTTATTAAATTAAGCATAAAAAATAAAAGACACAATGAAATTTTGAGGTAATAGAAAATAAAATTCTTGAAAATGAGACTAATTTGGATGGTGTCTCGTGAAGTATTAAGTTTAAGATTCGATGAATGCAAAGTGCAAACAATTCCTTAAAGAGGATGTATAAGTATCATCTAGGTTGTAGCCGTCTCAGCTCAACCCAGCAAAACCTTTTTTTCAATTATTTGAGGTCGGCTACGTGAATCATTTTTTTCCATCATGCTCTAGGGCAATAACGGCCTACCGTCGCTAAAAATTAATGAACGCGTACCAAATCCTCAAAGAAGTACCAACCAATTTCATTGAGCAGTTAAAGTACACATTTAAGCATAAATCAACACAATTTTGTAGGATACAAGTTAGATTCTCGATGAGGAAAGGAGAAAAGATATATACTTAGGCTATTGATTTATACCTGCAAAGAACCTTACACCTAAGTACTCTGTCCTGCATATAAAATCCTGGCAATACCATAATCTTCACCCGGCTAGGACCGTGTGATCTTTGCCTATCTGCAAACATATCCTCCATGTAATGAGGATCGAAGCTTCTGTTCTCTTCGACCCTTAAAATCCCCAATGGTGGGTGGAATGAGAACGCAAGCAAATGGAGCAACCATATGCATTTGGCAGCAACGAAAAACGACTGGAGGAGTTGTTCAGGCCATGGTTTTGTCCAAGTTAGTGTCGCAATGATACAACTCATCTTCTGGTCACAGAACTTGCTAAATTCCTCACTGTAGTATCTGGTCCCTTTTCTCAACACTTCATTCCAGCTCAGGTTTCTCAGCGCGACAAATGATGAAAACTGCGCGTGGCGATCTTGTTGGGGATTCAAGTGTTTTGGTGAGCCATCCTTTTGAAACACACAGTTCTCGAAGTCTTGGTAGAGAGAATGGTTTATGATGGCCTCTAAATGGTACAACACTGCCTTTGAGTACTTGGAATTTAGAGACAACTTATATGGTTGAAGAAGCAAATTCAGGTTGTCCCTTAGAGTATCATCAGTTTGTTCAATCTGGCTTACAAGTGTCTTGCAGAATTGCTTCACTGATAACCTTGCTTCTGATACAATTTGCAAGAAACCCTCCACCATTACTTCCTCGCTCACCGGCATCAAATTCTCTCCATTCCCATCAATGGATTTCCCTTTCTTAGGAAGAAGATTTCCGAGATTTACGGGAACATGGGAATCCTTTGTTTGCACTGCTTGTCTTAGTGCCTTCTGCAGTTCTTCACAGTAACTCTCTAAGTACTCCAACTTCTGTTTTAAGTCCCCAAACGAAGATTTCATCTCCGTGACCTCCATTAAGGCTGCATCCCTACTCTCATTTGCTTCCATAAGTTCCCTCCTCATCGTCTCAATGGACATTCTCCCCAAGTCCTTACAACTTTGGGAGACTTCTGACTCAGTTCGGTTTGGTGATTTTTCATTCTTGTACCTCTTCTTTAGCCGAGGAAACAACCACGAAAGATTCAATCCGCGGTTTTTTGGTTGTGAATGAACTGAAGAGTGTAAATCTGTTAATGGCACAACAATATTTGAATTCCTTCCATTCTTGGTGGAACTACCGGTTTCAGTACTTACGATTGCTGACTTGCTCTTATTGCAATACGCGGCAGAATTGAAATTGCCCAAACTGTTTCTCCTTCTTAATTTATGGAAATCCGATCCGGGTAGTGTTCTAGTTACTGTAATGTTGTCATCACATGAAGCACTTAAAGAACTTTGATCTTCACCTCCACATGTATGGGCTTCTAAGTTGGACATTATAGAGGGCGGTCCCTTTCTTGAAGAAGCATTCGCCTTTATATAATCCGATATGATGTTTTCATCACCATTACCTCCTCTTAGTCCATAATCATCCCAACATTCTGATAAATTTTGGCTCTCTAACCGGATTTGTTGAATCCCCGGTAATGGTTCATCTTCATAACTCTGTCAAATTTTGAGAAAATGTTAGTGGTCATAACTTTGCTTCAATAAGTAAAGAAAATTTCAAGGCTTATCCAACTACAAATAAAGGCCTAAAATAAAAAAGATTTCAGTAACTACGAAGTGTCAGTCATTTCCCTTAGGATCCCAAATACAGAAAACAGAAATAGAAATCAATGTAAGAGCACAAGAGAGTGGTAACTGGAATTCTGATGCCGAAAAATATGAAGAATATAGAAATCATCATATTCATCAAAACCCATGATACCAAATTCAAAATATAGTCTAACAAAGCTTTAGACATTCAACATTCCTTCCCAAGCAAATGTTTCCATTATCAATAAAGTAGGATTAACTAATCTCTTTCTTTTTTCTTTATATATATATATATATAGATCATGCAAAGGAATCAAAATCAAGGAACAAAAAGTACGGAAAATTGAACTAATCAATATAAAAACATAAACTGAACCTAATAGTGTCTCCTCAATCTCCCAAAATGTGGATGGTGAGGGTTCAAGTCCCCTTAGGAGCAAATGGTTGTGAGTTTCTTGCCTAGGAAAAAATTAATGAAAACTTTAAAATTCAGTTTAATTATAGTCAATGAACAAAAAAAAACCATGAAGGTATGTTTGGGAGCACCAAATAGACATATTGGAAATGGAATTTGAGAAAATTTAATTTCAAACTAAATTTCCTCTAATTTCAACTAGCGCGTCCGTGCTCCCAATTTCCAAACGCAGCATAAGTGAATTCCTAAATTCAGAACAATAAATGAACAAGCAAAACTATGAACATAGAGCTCATGATCATGGTAGTAAATGAGAATACAATTGCTATGTTCGTTGTGTGGAATTGATGTGTTGGAATTGAAATTAGAGAAAATTTAGTACAAAGTTTAAACAATTTGCTCTCAAATTTCAATTTCAAGGCTCCAATTCCATATAACCAAACATAGCCTCATAAACGAGATTGAATTTATGGTTTCAACTGTACTAAAATCAGGAACCCAGAAAGCTTCAATTGAAGGCATAACTCAACAAAAACTCTCTCTCTATAAAGTACAGTAAAGTTATAATAAAGAATGAAGTACACAAAGACACATACATTTCAACAGGTTCATGATTCATGAATATAAATGAATAAAAGGCGCACACACAAAAAACACAAACACACACGCACACATAAATGTATATAATTAGAAATGAATTTGGTAAATTAAAAGTGAAACTCACAGGAGTGAAAACAGGGTAATCCTGGGTAGAGGAGTGAGAGGCAGAGGGGAATCTGAGATGGGCAGGGCTGTTACCCTGCATCAGAGCCGCATGAAGAGCTCTGAGCTCTACAGCTTTGGCAATGGCGGCTTGAATTTCTTGCCTGTTAACTTCTGGGTTTTTCTGATTGTTGTCATTCTGATTGTTTTCATGGTTGTTTTCAAAGATTTGAGCTGTAATAGTAGTAGTAGCCATGAACAATGGCAGAAAATGAAGAAGAAGAAGAAAATACAAACCCACACAGATAAAGGAGACGATAATATATGGAATGTGTAATGGGGAGAATCTATTCAGAGAGAGAAAACAACAAAAGAGGATGAACAAGTGGGTATCCAACCATTGGATTTGATTTGCAGAGAAGAAGATTTTACATCATATCCAGTGATTAATTCTGTAAAAACCAGAAAAAAATAAAGAACAAAGAGAGAGAGAGAGACAGAGAGGGTTTGGACATATATAAATCCAATGAGCAGTCTTTGTTATTGATAGAATAGTGGAATCAGCGCATGTGAAGTAGGAGAGAGAGAGGGGAGTGGGGGTGTAGTGGTTTTCACTCTACGTAGGCATGGCAGGTTCTAAATTACCAATATACCCATGGTTCCCAAAAATACACACATTTATCAACACAATTGCTTTAATTCTTCCACTACATTTGTGTCACTTGACAATTGTTAATAGAATATGGATTGCTCTTTAAGCGCATGTTGATCTTTCATGAAACTTCAGTTTCAAATATTTTGATAATTTTTGCCTCATACATATTCTAGTTAAGTGGTTTAACACTTTCAAATTAAGCCAGTTATTAGTGAGTTCGAATTTTTTTTTTTTTTTTTTTTTTTTTTCATTGGTAAAAAATTCACGCATTTGGCATGCCAGTTCAAGTTTAGAGATAAGTCACTTAGAACGAGAGTGAGACCGAGAGCTGGAACGAGAGCAAATTTAAGAGCAGAAGTATGAAAGTAACAAAATTTAAATCACACAAAAGTGAGAATGAAAGCAAAGCACACGCAGAACGTATGAGTGACATCTGTTGAGAAAGATTGTGTGAATTAAATTTAGGGTAATCATTTTGTAAAATATAATATATAGATCAATCTCAAATCCTTCCTCGATGTAGCAAACACAGAACTGAATAATTTTTCCTTTCTACGTGGCAATACCAAGCACTATTTTCCTAAACATATACTTGAAGCTTTAAATGTTTTAGAACCCAAAGTCTAAGTATAGTGGACCAGTGGTACTACCTCGTCTTTTATAGCAGAAGATTGAGAATTAAAGCTTCCATAAGACAAGTAGGTGTGTGAATGTATCCATTTTTATTTTTTTCTTTTTATTTATTTATTTATTTTTGTTTTTTTTCTTTTGTTTTTTCCCCCTATGGAACATGTATGGAAATAAAAAGAGAATGAAGGGGTAGTTTTGTCTATGAGACAATATTGAGCTGTCCAAATCCAAATTTTTGCTGAGAAAGAAAAATTCTATTCCCAAATACTCGCACTGCCCTCTCTTCTCTTTAAACAGATTAATCGTACGTGTAAGATAATAGTGACACGGTGGGGACCAAATAGTCCTTTCAATACCTAAACTACAGTGAGTGCTCAATTATGTGATGGACCATGGACTGGAATATCCTAATATTAAAGATGTGTTATACATTATTATATATTTACATTTACAAGTAATATAAACTGTTAGAGCTTCGAAAAACAAGAAATATATATATATATATATATATATATATATATTGTAGGGTTCCTATTGTTCCTTCGAAGTACAAAATGGAATTCCATGTAGGACCACTGGGGAATATGAAGTTTCAGTGTTTTCCATAACTACTTTGTCATTATTTTATTGAAACCATCTTTTTTAAACCACCCACCCCAACTAAAGAGAGGTTTCATTAACCTCCACATGCAAAAAGGGTTTCTTCCTTTTTTCATTAACTGTGTAGTAACAAAAAAGATCACATGCAATCTCTTTTCCTAAGAAAAATTATGAAGTTTTAAGCATTTACTTTTGCTATTTGTTGAACATCTTCTGTGTGTGTGTGTGTGTATGTGGAGCTAGCAATTGTAAGTTTTGGAACCTAAAAAGCAACAAAGAAAGAAAGTGACTACTGCATCAGAATCTTTCCCAAAGAGATTAAGTTAAAGCATAAACCCTTATTAAAAATGTTTAATGCATATAATATATATGTGTGTATTGAGTACAATATTCACTAATGACATTATCATGGAAGCATTTGCATAAGCCAAAATGGAAAAGTTAGTTTGTCTAACATATAATTGAGAAACATTAGACCTCATTATATTCCATAATAGAGTTTTGCTTGGAAACATTAGCCCTCATTAGCCCTCATTATATTCCATAATAGAGTTTTGCTTGGAAACATTAGCCCTCATTATATTCCATAATAGAATTTTGCATGTCCTCGTATACTGCTTATCGTTTCATTTTAATGAAAATTTTGTACTCTTATAAATTTTTTGTACGAGTGAGACCTTATTTATAAAGTCATTGAATTTAAAAATTTGCCTACGACCTTTTAAAATTTTGAGAATCTCAGAGCCGCCTTACTCGTATTCCCTTGAAACCATATCTCAAAATAAAAAATAAAAATGGACATTACATATATTTGGATATATGAGTCTCATCAACTAAATATGATTTAAAATTGATTGCCGAAATATATGCAGATACTTTTTCTTTATATATATATACAGTTTCGACGAGCCCGTTTTAATTTACAAAAATCCATATTGATGAGTAACGATCAACGAACTATAAACTCACTTGTCATGCTTTCTTAGCTTGTGATGGAGGCATTTTTTTGCCCAAATTCCACCTTTTTGTGAGAACTTATTAGATGGTCTTGAACCATTGACACTTAATAGACCAAATCAAATCGAACTCTTCCATTGAAAAAATGGTTCTACAAGAGTGTATTAATATATTAGTAAAAAATCTGAATAACCATAGATTGAGTTGGTTGATTAATTGTCAAATGGTTCAGGACCATCTAATAATTTTTCTTTTTTAGACCCCAAAATGCATTTTTCGATACTATAGCAGACTTGTTGAATATTTTGGAATTTTTATTGCAAGTCCAAACAAATTTGATTTTTTTTATTTTTTTGTTGCTAGTGTCATAATTTTTAGAGATATTGCCATTTTGGGCTTTTTTTAAAGTTTCTTTATGCTGTACAGTTTTTCCTATCAAAATTCAATTATTGATTAATAAAATATCAGAATTCATTTCCTCTTAACTTTGTAAATTCAAAATAACTTTTTTTTTTTTTCAAAAATTCAAAATTATTTATTTGTTGTCACCTGAACATTTATAACTTTCATTCTGTCAAAATCCAATTAAAATGTAAGATGGATCGAATAATTGGGAGTGATTTTTGAGTTGGTCGTTGTTATTCTTTATTTGTCTTATTTTATTTGTCTTCCATTTCTCCTTTAATTATTTTGTTCTTTTTTGGACCATAGCATATATACTATATAGAGAGTAATTTATATATCTTACATGAATGTCGTACCTATATAACAACTACTGTGATTCATATATATATATTGAGGATTCTTCCTGAAACTTACAAAATTTATAAAATCATCATCAGCATCACACCATTTGATATTCACATATGAAATAGTTTCTCTATCTCAATATTGATTCATGGGGTAGACCCCATTAGTTTAATGTCATTGTAAGGTACGAATAATCAGTAAGATCTGTTTGGATATTCTTGTAGTACCTATTCTTTTGAGTAATGGGATCAATTGTCGTTTGTTATGAAGTATATATATATATATATAAATATATAATAAAAGAATTATAAAAAAAAAAGGTAGAGATAATTAATAAAGAGATACATAAAGACAAAATAGACAATTTCTATCAAAGCGGTTGAGGAGGTGGTGGTACTTCAAATGGAAACTCAGCCTTGTAAGCAAACCCTTATCTCTAACTTAAAAACCAAATTAAGTAGGGGGTAGTTTTCTTAAAAAAAAAAAAAGAATTAAAATATTAATTTAAATTACATTTTTAAAAGAAATTAAAAGTGAAGATGGTGATATAAAAACAATAGGTAAAATGTAATTTTGAAAATGTCATCTAAAATGCAAGTTGATTTCGTGTAATTCCAACTTCCAATCAATTTTGGACACAACATTCTCACCCTTAAAAAGGAGAAAAAAAAGGTTAATTACACGAACCTCCTTTATGATTTGTCATAATTACATGGATTTTTCTTATAGTTTGAGAAATTACTCAGACTTCCCTTAAAAATGAAACTAACTTACACGGACCTCCCTTCTTAGTGACGGACCGTTAATTGTACTAACGGACCTGTCAATTTATTGAAATACCCTCAATTTTCTATGGTAAATGACTGAAGTACCTTAGTGTGTACACTAAAAAAATTATCAAACTGTTAGTGCCATCGCCGCCGTTGCCACCACCACCATCTACACCAAAACAATATAAAGCAGTGTACACACATACACCAAATATATGGTTCTGGGTTGGGTTGACTTTTGCTTTCAAACATATACGCATATACATCAAATATGAGGTTCTGGGTTAGGTAGAATCTTGTTTTCAAACATGATGTTCTGGGTTCGATCTTGCTTTCATGAACGGCAATGAGGATAACAGTTTCGATGATGACGATGAACGACACTGACGAGCAAAGTCTGAACGACATGCAGCTAGCTAAGAATCCAGTATGGTTCGGTTTGTGTATTGAGCAGTGATTCGAGCGATGGAAACTACATGTTAATGCATGTTCCGGTGACAAATACTAGGAAGCAGTGATTCGAGCAAGCACGAAGTGAACGATGATGCTTGTTGTAATATCCCTAATTTTTAGATCATTTAATTTATTATTTTAATTGTATTTTAATTATTTATTTGGCTAATTGTTGATTATTTTATTTAAATGGCTATTTGATTTATTTAGTTAATTAAATTATGTTAAATTATTTGATGTGCTTTACTTCTTATTATTTGTTCATGTGCAATATGCCTGCTTAATTAATTGGTTTATTGTATTTTAATTTAACCATGGTTTAGTCTTGGAGTTACGTGATCTAAAGAAATGGGTTTGGACTAGTTAGAGAAGGTCTAGATAGTTATCTAAAATTATGGCTAGTTAGAGAAGTTATATATATTACTAAATATATATTTATATGTGTATGTTATATATATATATATATATATATATATATATATCACGTGGTTATTGATTTGGTAAATTAATACGTTTGGAAATAATAATAATAATAATAATATCCTAACCTAAGACTAACTAACATAAAATAATAATAATAATTATTATTATTATTTTATGTTAGTTAGTCTTAGGTTAGATTTGTGGGTTACTATATATAGATGTAATAGTCAGAAGAAAATGATTTTACATATATATATACGTAAGTTACAAAAGAGATAGAGATCTAGAGAGATAAATAGAAAGAGAGAA